AATATTTCGTAAATGTAATGTTACCAGTTTGTGCTGTTATCATGTAGTGACTCGCATTTGAACCCCTCCTCGGCTCCTCAGTCAACTGGTAGGTTGTGTCAAGGACGGCCATGTAATATTACATTTTAAAAATTTTGAGTTGCAAAATAAGTTTTTTTTTTGTAAGTTTTACGCATTTTTAATGTTTGTGTAGTTATCATATTTTTTATTATGCAATAGTTTTGTGTGCACATTTGGCTTTATTATTCTGTAAGCAACTTTTTTCTGTCATATTATTTTACCATATTATTTTGGAGATTATCGTGGAAAAGGTTAGATAGTCTACAATGAATCATGATTCGTTGAAGACCACATAATCTTTGTTACGATAATCTTCATTTTCCTTCTTACATTTTCCATTTCTCACTTTCGTCGCACGACCAGTCAGAATTAAAAATGCAAATCATCTCAGCAACAAATTGTGTTAGATGAGTTCCGGGAATTTATTGTATTATTAGTACACGCGATGTTACCCAAATTTTAGGGTACTGTGATTTCCTTTGACTCAGTGAATGATGTCGGTAGCTGATATTGCATTTGCTCGAGATTTTCCATCGTAATTAAAACCATTTTTTTTTACCCTTCCCATAGCGTCTTATCTTCACTATTTCGATCTTCTGATAAGATCGACAATGTAGGACTCATAATATAGTAAAATCCACCTTGCTGCACCTATAGCTTTTCTCTATCCTTCTAATTATCGCGTTTTGCCATGCAATGCAGCATCATTTTGTATTTGCCGATTTTTTTCGAGCGAGATGTGATCTTTGAATGTATTAAACACGCAAATACAATGTTAAATAAGTTTAGCGTTTGCGGCACGCAGGAAACCTATACGTTGATGTTTATTCAGACGAAGTAACGCAAGAAGACAAGCGTTTCTTTTACCGATAGAGTATGTGGCGATTTTCGTCGCACTCAGCGATCGTTACCCTCCTTCATTGCGAGGAAAGCACACAACTGATGCATGTGATCACACGTACTCACTTTTGTACAGATCCGCTAGAAAATGATCTATGTAGTAAGTAAACATAATGAATCATATTCTCGGAAAAAATACATTCGAAATTCGTCCGGAATTGATTGTTTCAGATCGAGCAATAAATAGCCGTCAGGCTTTTACGTAGCATTGCAACTTCTAACAATTTTTAATCGTCCTGTCACGCTAAATAGTGAATTTGCGGATGATGATTTTTGAAAACGACTATGTAATTCGCATTGTGTTCGAGATCGGTAATTCGAAAGAAAAGCAAGAATTCTTTCAGTCGACCGACATTAATTGTCATTGAACGCATGCATAAATTGAGCTCGTGATTTCATCTCGAGCATGATCTTAATCCTCGTTAAAATCATCGAATTCGTCGTTCTTTGTTCTTTTTAAAAACAATTCGTTACACGCAAACAAGCTGTCGTTACCGGCAACGGACAATCGAAAGTTCTAGAACGATTCAATTCGCGCACGCGAGCGCCGCGCTCCGACGAATACGTCACGCGCTGTCACCAATCCCACGCACGGATTTTCTGCCGCGCATGACTGTTACGTTGAACGTCGCTAGAAAAGAATTCAAAGCGCCAATCAATTCTGTACACCTAATGCCACGTAATAATTACGATTGTGGCAAATTTTTATTGGATTTTTCCCAAAAGGGAAAGCTCAGGCCGAAAGCAATAAATGCTTCGATCTCGCCGTCCTCCTTCTTACTTCCAAAAAGTTCTTAGAGTTCTTAGAGTCATAATCTCGCTCCGTAAAATCGCCGTGCTAACCGTTTAGTGAAATCGCTATAAACCGAATCTTTCGAGAAGTGCCAAGAAAAATCGCCGAGATTTTCCATCACCGCGATTCCAAACTCAATTTGGAAAAGGTGACCGCATTTAATATTCTGTTAATTTAAATTTAATTAATTATATTTTTTGACTTTGTAACTGAATATATTAAAGAAATTCTTTTGTTAAATTACAAAGAAACTGAGTTCTCTTTACTGTCGTGCGCCGAACTCTCACTCGAATTTTTCCGCGCGGTGCGCTCTCGCACACATTGAATGATATATTGTGCTATCTCCGTCCTTGATGGAAGAGATTTTGCGAGATAAAAATAGCACTGAGATTTTTGTAATGACTGCCTTTAGTAAAAAGATCTACGATCGCCTCGTTCGGCGACGATTCTATTATAAGATCAATTATTATCAATTTCAGGGAAAGCGGATTATTTGAGTGATCTTCCGGACGAGGTAATCCTTTGTGAAATTCAATTATATTTTTCTTCTTCGTCACTTTACCATTGGTGCATTTCAAGCTCATAAGGGAACCTCTCGAGGTATCAAATTATGATTTTAATGAAACTTTGTGAACTTGTAGTTTACATAAAAAGATGAATTTAGAAAATATCAGTTGCTGCTAAAAAACGATTTGAAGGGGTGAAATCACCTTTTACGTGTACAGCGGTTTTCAGCTTTTTCCATTATATCTTGAAAACTATTTAAGATATAAAAAAATATTTTATACCAAAATTTTACAACAAAATTAGCTCTATTCATTCACGTTTTTAGAATAGTTATTTACCAATTTTTTTTCAAAATTTTCGAAAAAAATTGTTAAATGTATGGTTATTCTAAAAAAATGTCATTGACTTGAATAAATAGAAGTAATTTTATTGTAAAACTTTTGTATAAAATATTTTTTTATATCTCAAATAGTTTTCGAGATATAGCGGAGAAAGTTGAAAATCGCTTCACACATGAGGCCTGATGTCATCTTTTCAAACTCTATGTTGGCAGCAATTTTCAGAACTTTTTAAAAAAATTATTATTTTTTAAAATATTTGTGATAGATAGAGATAATTTTATTATAAAGCTACTTGTAAGTAAATGTCTATCCTAAGAAAATGATAAAATGCTATCATTTTATTAGTATTAATATCGTTATTAATACTAATATGATTATTATATGATAAAATGTTCGCAATTATAATATTCTTCAAAAAAAAGTTGCATACAAAAATATTTACAGCGACGCTTATTGTATTGTAAAAATGTATGTGATTTATTTAGGAGGTGTACGTGATATATTATTTATAAAAAAAAATCGCGGTTAAAAATATTTTATCGGTCAAACAGAAGTACATATCAAAAAATATCTTATCTATTGATTATTGATCCGATTTGTATTGTATTGGATCTTATGATGTAAGAAATTGTAAATAAGATAGATTCATATTATCAAACCCTAGTGAGAAGCACAGAAACACTTTCATCTAATATTCTTATCGCTCTCTCATAATTATGACATAGTGCTTGATTGATATAAATAATTAACAGGACAGTATCGTCATTTTTATATCACATATGATGTATGTGCTTGATTAATATTATTAATTAACGGAACAGTAACATCATTTTTATATCAAGTATAATGTACATAAGATATAAGATACATGCCTAATATGTAAAAATGATACAGTGATATCACTTTATATTACTATATAAATCACAAAGATCTTGCAATAATTTCAGTATAAAGCATAATTAACAAGAATAATTCAAGTGCAAAGTCAAAGTCAAACAGTGCTAATCGTTAAAATGAATCCTGCAAGTATTCTCAATATTTTTTAATTATCTTTTTTCAAATTTTTTTTCAAAAATTCCGGAAACACCTGTAAACAATAAAGAAATTGAATTGCGCGATGTGATAAAGAATATTATATACTCTTTAATGAATGAAATGATATTCATATGATATTCGTATTGATACTATGTTAAAATTTGAAAATTATTGGGAATCAAACTTACTTGATGCAGATTTTGTCTCGGATGACAAAATGGAAATACTCGAAGAAGATGAAGACGATGATTAAGCAGAAGATAGTTGTATTTCAGAAAAACGAGAAATTGTTAATGATGGCTATAAAAGAAGTGCTGTTGAATTTTGTAAAAGTGCAAAAAAGGAACGGTATTCTTTATTATCGATAAAAAATTTAATAAGGTGAAGTCTTTGCGACAACTAGATCGATGGGAACATTACATACAAAAAGGAGGTACCTATAGAGAAAAGATGTCGTATATTTCCGAATATGTTTTACAAATTTTAAAGAAACTGATGACGAAAAGGGAATTATTCATGAATTTACATATGAATTTACGACGACGGGCTTTAGAAGCCAGGGCACAAATCGATCTTCTTTCATTTAAAGCTAGCTAAAGTTGCTGCTAAGTGCAACATGGATATTAAATTTTAAAAGAAAACATAGAATCGTGTCAAGAAAAATAACAAAATTTGTAAATCGTTCTGCGCAAAGAGATAAAGAGCAATTACAAATGTATGTCAGAAATTCATAACTACCGTAAAATCTAATATAAATCTTTTTGAACTAAAGAATATATATAATGCAAAATTCAATTTGGAATTACATTCAGGCAGAATACTGACCAAGGTATTAAAACAGTTAAAAGTTCAATCACTATCGACAACTACGCATAGTTACACGATTATGCCCATAATTTCTGCAAGCGCAGACAATTGAAATCGCTTTTTTATTTGGTACTGAAAGAAGTGGAAATTTTGGATCGCGTAGAAAAAAGTTTATTTAGACCTGCAAATGTTTACATTGCAACACCAAAATTGGGCAAATTAACTACACAACACTTTCAGTCTTGGTTTACAAATGTATTTGAATCCGCTATTGGAAGTTTTAATGTGCTGTTATTAGACTCTTGGAGCGGACATTGTCTTGCAAGTCTGCAAGAATTTATGCCAAAAAAAATAAAGATATACAAATTTTAACTATATCAAAGAAAACAACGCGAATGATTCAACCTTTTTGACATTTGGATTTAGACTGGAAAAACTTTGGCAGAACATTCAGTGATCGCAACATTCGTGATTATGTTATTAAATTATGATATTAATTTACATTTGAGAAATAATATCATCAAATTATAATCTTTAATGCATACAATTGTCTTCTCCGCAATTTTATAATCTTTTTAAATATGCTTGGTATAAGAGTGGATATATCGAAGAATGGTCGCCACAATTCGAAACTCCAGTAGATTTTTATTTCAACGGAAATACCTCACTGCTTCATATAGGTGCACTGGTGCATCTGCTATAATACGATGTTCCTGGTGCAAGAAATATTTCTGTATGTAGCATTTTCTTGCAGAATATCATAATTGCGAACATTTTGTCATATAATAAATCATGTTAGTATGGGATGAAGACTATAATTAATAAGAGATTTATAAGTAGTTTTAAAATTTATAATAAATACATTCATTATTCTTTATAACAAAAAATGTACTTATACATTACAAGAAATATATGGTACCGTAACTCATCATTGTTAGATTTCAAAGGAGCAATGGCAACCCTAAGTTCTTGAGTTAAATATTGTAACATTTTATTATCTTTTTACTTTCATGTATATCAAAATGTTAATCAATCCATTTCTATAGTTAATTTCAACATAAGCAACGTTTATATTAACATATGTAAGTAAATAAATTAAAGTCAAATTAAAACATCTTCTTGAGTTTAAAAATTATTTAACTCAAGAAGATGTTTTAATTTGAACTGCATTATCAAATTAATGACATATTGAGAAAAATGAGGAGAAGGATGATGTAATTTTACAATATTTTGATAAGCATTTTTTAAATATTACTACTCGCGCGAATATATTTTTATGTAATAATAACAATATTTCTTTTTAAACACATTTTTTAAATGTACCAAAATAGTCAAGGGAAGAATGACAGCATTTGGAATAATTTATGCATAAAAAAAATAGAATGGAATAGGCCTACTGGGGAAACCACTATGAAAAAAGCGCACCATGTTATCTACCTCATGATAGGTGGTATGGAAATGATAGCATTTTATCATTTTCTTGGAATAGACATTTACAAGTAGCTTTATAATAAAATTGCCTCTATCTAACATAAATATTTTTAAAAATAATAATTTTTTTAAGAAGTTTTGAAAATTGTTGTCAACATAGAGTTTAAAGGGTGAAATTAGGCTTCAATAGGCCCCCTAAAGTGATTTGCAACTTTCTCCGCTATATCTCGAAAACTATTCGAGATATAAAAAAATGTTTTATACAAAAGTTTTACAATAAAATTACCTCTATTTATTTACCTCAATAATATTTTTTTAGAAAAATTATTCAACAATTTTTTCAAAAATTTTGAAAAAAAATTGATAGATAATTATTCTATAAACGCGAATGAATACAGCTAATTTTGTTGTAAAACTTTTGTATAAAACATTTTTTTATATCTCAAATAGTTCTCGAGATAATGGAAAAAGCTGAAAACCACTGAACATATAAGGGATGATTTCACCCCTTCAAATCATTTTTTAGCAACTGATATTTTCTAAATTCATTAAAATCGTAATTTGACACCTCGAAAGGTTCCCTTGTCAGTTCTTCGATCTCTTTTACGCGAGTGTCGTATTATAATTGGCGATAGACTTTTTGCTATTAATAAAACAAAACTCTCTTAAAACGCAAGTAACATAAGAGATAAATACCGAAGAAAAGTCTCCACGACGATCGTCTTCCTAGTCAGTTGGCCCACATATGACGTCCAGGGATATATCCAGCGAATGTCCATTTTACATGAACGACTCGGTTTTTATGTGCGTCTTCAAAGCAAAAAGAAAAAAACGGTGCTTAATCTCTATAATACGCAAAAGAAAATAATTTAAGGGGCGAAAGGATAAATTGATTAACGCGACGGGCGAACACTCGAGTAGTAATACTAGACGGGTTCTAACCTATGGGACTAGAGTAGGCGCGGGGAAGGAGAGGGAAGACGCGGAGAAGGTCCCGGCGTTTTCGATGTTTATGTAAAACATAGGATCCCGGTCGGAGTGATTATGTAAACATGACATTCCGCTTTGTGTTCCGTATTTTTTTTTGGCACCCGCCGCCATCACCGTCGCCCGTCGTCACTACATCACCCAACTCAAAAATGTATCGGTACAAAGGCTTGCATACACCTACCGCATATACTTAACATCTCTCTTCCTCTTATATTTCGTTATCTTACGCTGCGTTGTCGTTTTCGTTGTATCTTCTTCTCACACGCAAAAATATTTTATCATACGTTTTTTATTTAATGATTTAAATAGAGAAAATACTTAATACGATCGTGTCTGTCATAGTACCGCTAAGCGTGAAGATGCTGGCGTAATATGATAGCGCTACGATAATAAGACAAAAATAAATAATGTCATATACCCAGACATATAATTTAAATATGCGTTTACTTTTATATATAACGTAATTTTACAATATATAGTTCTTATTATATAGTTATTACAATATTTATAAGGAACTTAATTCAATTTAATTTAATTTAATCAAATCAAATTTTAAGCACCTACTTCCGATTAACAATAAAATGTACATTTTCACACTGTTTACAATATTATCTAAAGCATAAACTATTAACTCACACTCTATATTTGATTTTTTATTATAAATTTTGCGCAAAAAATCTACAGCATCACATTTATCGATGATACAATTTTTATCTAAAAGTGTTACAAAATATTTAAATTTTTCATTAATGATATGTGTATATTGATACAGCTCAGATTATACGTTCTCAACGCAATGTTTGAGTTCGAACATGAAGAGCACGGTTGACGGCTTTATATATAGACCTGTTTCGAGCAGTGTTAATTTGACCACATTCGCATCACGCATTTTTATGATTTCTATCACTAGATCTTGGACTGATAATGATGAAGGTAGATTGCACGAACTGTTCAATATCCACGCGTCTTTCGATGAAAGCCAGCAAAATTGAACGAGGCAAGATTATGTTATTACCTTGGTTGTCGCCAATTTCCACAAAAAACAGGTTCCACGATTCCAATATCCAGGTATTTGTAAGCTGTAGGAGTCAGTGTCTTCTTCTCAATACACGAAATGTATGATATCGGGATTTATTACAAGAGATGCTCTGCACAAGAAAGTAATATATATATATATATATATAATAATATATATATTAATAATATATATATACAAGTATATAATAGAGAAAAAAGGAAAACAGATAAACAATCTGTAGAGAAAAGGTATAAAAAAATTTATAAAATAAAAACTTATTGTTTATAAAACTCTTTATCTTGAATAGGAACGTAAAATCTCATCATACATGCTTGAAAACCGTTGCAGTAGCGGTCCGTCTGAACAACTGATCCAGTAATTGCCCGAGTTCTTTCTAAGTTTCGTCCCCTCCATCACATTTCTTCAGGAATGCATATAGAATTGTCCAATAAAACACAAGTGAGGGATCAAAAATGTAAGCGCCGATATACAACAGCTTTGTCAATGTAATAAAAGATTTTTTTAAGGACATTGGATGTATTAATACGACATATTTCACGATGACGTTATAAATGTAATTTTGATACATTGCAACGTTGCCAAATAGTATGCATAATGATATCAAATTTAAAGATCGATATGCACTGCGACGTTGCCAAATAGTGCGCATAAGGATATATGTCCCACCCGTTGTAGTCCTATACTCGCTATATCGTCCTATTCGTGCTCTCTCTCCTACTCATCGTGGTCCTATACTTATCATAGTATTCGCGCTCTCTCTTCCGTTTTATTCTCTCTCACGTTCTCTTTTCTTCTTGCTCATAATTTTATTAAATAAATATGGTATTTGTTTAACGATTTCTTAATGATATGACTTAGCAATGATTTTAATTTAACAACTAATTATAATATAATAGTATTTTTAGTAATGTAATGTAATACAAATAGCTGAGTGTTCCTAATTATCAAATCATTATAAACTATTATTGAGTAAACGTATGTTTGAACATACATATGTTTGAACGTACGTATGTATAATTGTACGTATAAACGTATATTTGATACGTACGTTTGTGGTTGCAAACATTCTCTCTCGCATCTGCGTCGTCTCTCAGCCTTCCCGCACTGCTATTGTATGCTACTGATTTACTACTTGTTCACTACTATGCATTCAGTCTTGTATTCAATTTTCATTATTAATGTGTCTTAAATTTATTCTACGTTATGTTACGTTTTTTTTGTTCTGTAATCTAACTTTCATACTATATTGTAAATTTATGTTTTATATTCGCTTTGATGCTTTTTACACCATTTTTATGTAATTTTTTACTCTCATTTTCTGGTAGGAGTTAGAGCAGCAGACTTTGCTAGTGCCTTACCATTTTGTGCACTTGTACATTTGATTTTTTCTTGTTTAACTGTAGTCGTCATGTTTTTTATTATTATGTAAATAATGCACAAATAAATTAAATTAAAAATTAAATTAAATTAAATATGTACGTATATACATTAAGTACGTATGAATTTGTTTAACATTACTGATCAAAAATTAAATAATTAATACTAATAACAATTGAGCAATCCATTACAAACGTCTGGATATAGAATAGTTCGCTTTAAATAATATTTTAAAAAGTTAACAACTAGTGAGCAAATATTGTTTTTCAAGGGGACAAGTATGATCACACAATTATAACATTACTTTTAAATATGAAGCGCCATGATCTGAATGTTGAGATGTTGAACTATTATCTATATTCATATAAATGAATTAATTTCAGAAATGATAATTGCGTGCCGATATGGTTGTCGGACTTTCAATACAATCAATCTGAAATATTAATAATCCTCCCAAATTTCCCAAATTAATCTTAAAAAATTGTAATAAACTTATTGCAAAAAATATTGCTTCGGCTGGGAACCGAATCCGGATCTTGCATTCCGTGCGAGCGTCCTAAGCCTTTAGACTACCGAGACCTTAGCAATATTCTTCGCAATAACCGATATGTATAGAGAATTACGCATGTAATGAATGTTGAGATGTTGAACTATTATATATGTTCATATAAATGAATTAATTTCAGAAATGATAATTGTGTGCCGATATGGTTGTCGGGCTTCTAACACAATCAATCTGAAATATTAATAATCCCCCCCAAATTTCCCAAATTAATCAAAACTCTCATCATTCAGACCGTAGTGGCTTCGTATTTAAAAGTAATGTATTATTTAACATAAACGGTCTTGTTTTCAATCTTATTGTTTATACACGCACGCTTATAATGCGTAATTCTCTATACATATCGGTTATTGTGGAGAATATTGCTAAGGTCTCAGTAGTCTAAAGGCTTAGGGCGCTCGTACGGAATGCAAGAGATCCGGGTTCGACTCCCGAGGCAATATTTTTCGCAATAAGTTTATTACAATTTTTTAAGATTAATTTAGGAAATTTGGGGGGATTATTAATATTTCAGATTGATTGAAAATCCGACAACCATATCGGCACGCAATTATCATTTCTGGAATTAATTCATTTATATGAATATATATTGTATAATAGTTCAACATCTCAACATTCTCAAACATTCAAGACTGTAGTGACGCTTCCTATTTAAAAGTAATGTTATTTAATATAAACAGTCTTGTTTCCAATCTTATTGTTTATACACAATTATAATATATCATTTTATAATACTATTAGTACTATTATAGTTCTAGCCATGACTGCGTTTCAAGATTGGAAAGGATTTTATTGCACGGTTTATAGAATTGTCTAGTGTACAAATTTAAACTGAAATATTTGGGTAATAAGATTAACTTTGGTTGATTATAAGATTTCATTTACTTAATTGATGGATAAAATTTATTTATCTAATTATAGAATATTTTTTTATACGATTTATAGCATATACAACATGTGCATATATTATACATATATTATTTCTTAGTAAAGTTTATTTATGAATATGTCAAATCAGGAACAAATCTTTTATAAATAAAATTAATATTTCCTGTAATTAAGATAATTAAATTTTATAAGATACACGTAAAACAAAAAACAAAAGAATAAAAAAAAGGACTAAATTAAGAATGTATAATCGTATGAAATATATTTAGAAACGGTATAGTTAATGTCACGAATTTACCATTGTATCAATAGAAAGTTTATGATTGATGATCACAATAATGAGACAGAACTATATTGCAATTTAATCAATCCTGTTATAACAATGATTGTCGTTATTAAACAATAAATTGATATTGTAGCAGTAAACATAGACCGTGCAAACGTTCAAAGAAATAAAGTATTTATTTTTATCTAAGGGATTAGTTGACCAACGATGTTGGTCTTTTATACCTTTAAAAAGCTATCACAACGTTTTTAACATTAAAGATATGTGAGAAATGAATTCTTTGCAATTAGGATAACTAGATATCTATGGTGTACGTCTGTATAAAAATAAATTATTCGTTATAACATTACTCTGAAAAACTAACACTATATTTGTAAAGATATGTAAAATTCCATATTGAATACACTGCCTAACTCATTTTTGAAAAGAGAAACAAGGAAATATGGGAACGGACAGACTTTATTTATTTAAGGAGTCGCTGACGCTGATCCCTTAGATATTGAAAAGATTCGATATCGTCAAAGTACATTCTTATATACAGGGTTGGCCATATTCGACGGAAAGATGTTTTTTTTTTCAATCATGGGAAACGTCGTTACTCGATCTAACATCTCTGTCAAAAGTTACAGTGTTGCCAGATCTTTCCGTCGAATATGGCCAACCCAGTATGTGTCATTGCATAGTTTAATATAGGTTTGATGGCAATTACACTGAAAATTAACTCGCATATTTGTAAAAATAAGTAAAAAATTCCATTAAATACACCATCTAAAAGAAAAAATAAATAAATAAAAAAAATAAAAAATAAAAAAATAAATGATATATAAAAATAATGAAATAGAAAATGCATGAACGAAAGAGAGCTCTAATACATCAGTGACTAATACATCCAGTGAATAGTTATCGTCGTAGTCATCGCATCAAAAAACATCGCATCCTCTGTGAGGATGTTATACTTTAAACGTTAAATAAGAATTGTTTATGTTACTCTGTGTGAAATTAATAAACAATATTGCTCGTCAATATTGCATTTGAGTCACGGTATAAAGAACTTGAATTTCGAAACGTTTTTACTCGCAGTAATACATGGTATATCAAACATAAGACAGATATATATAACAGATATATAAACATATCAATGTGTGTGATTCGAAGTTTGATGATTACGTAAATTTAAATCTTCCTACATGTCATTGTACGATTTATGATGTTACTGATAGAATATACAGCGAAACTCATCCACACGTAGACGTTGTGGAACATATATTACTTCAATGTTATAAAATATAATTATATTATATCTATATTAAAATAAGTAAGAGACAGTAAGTTTATTCAATTTTTATAAAATTTGATTATACGTTTTATACGTTATGTACTTTTTAAGATCATGTTATTATTTACATGATTTCTATTTTCTACAGCGCATCTTCTCATATATCTTTGAAACCTCGCTACATATCTCATATCTTGATGAGGAGATATATATTGACATTGACAGCGTATAAGTTCTTGAACATCGAAATCGTCGTGGGACCTACGTCTCATGTAGAAATTGCGATTAGCGATAATCGAGGCAACCGCAATCTTGCTTCATGCTACGTGGAAGGCGTCCATCGAGAGACGTGCAGATATTGAACGATTAATACAGTCCCATCATCATCATCACCGATTCAAGATCTGAATGTAGAACTTGTTAAAGTATATGATACGAAAAACATAAAATTGTCATTGCATGATACATGCTTGTACATGAAACCAACAACCATACTTTTCTTATTTGAGCTCGAGCAATGTGTCGAACATGTGTACTATAAACTAAGTCAATATACGCACGGTGTTAGTGAAAAATTCAAATATTTAGTATCATTTTTAAGACAAAATTGTATTACTAGTAAACGCGATGCAAACACTTTGCACAAAAGTTATGATAAAAATTCTATTATAGAATGTGAACTAGTGGTCAATGGTTTAAATTATATGCTGCATTAAATATTAGATAAATAAATCTATATTAAAAAATGTATACATTTCTTTGAAAATTTATCTTATCCCTAATTCCTTCATCATTATTTCTTGTCTTCGTGATAATAAATTACTTAATAAGAAAGCGCGTCCAGCTAATCGACTTATACCATTAAAATATTATTAAAATTGTGCTCATTTTATTGTAAAATCGCATCATAAAATGAATACTATATTTTTTTTAATAAAATCGCGTGCAAGAGAATATATATCAACAATGTATGACTACTATACGCCAAAATTGTAATAATAAATGTGATGTACTAAAAGATTATGTGAAGTTTATGATGAAACTTCAATCATGGAGTATGAATTAGTAATGTGCGTTTCAGATGAAATTGTATATACTGTGTTACATTTAAAGTAAGAAATAAGTTAATGTTTTATAAAAGTGTATAATATGACACTTAAATATATTACTGAATTTTTAAATTATTTTC